ACAAGAATGTTTGACCAAGAAGTTCGAAAAGAATTTTTGACGAAGGATGAAGCATTTTCGGAGAAAAGTTTTAGAGTTTTGGCAAAGTACTTGGCCAGTGGTTGTGTAGTGCACTGACAATGGGACGTAGAGGAATATCGGGTTTGTGGAATTTTGGGTCAGCCATATATTCGGGGTGTTCTGAAAGACTTTTCACGAGAAATTAGAGATTGTTTATGTCAACAGGGAAGAGAGGTTTTATTGATAATGGCTTTTGTTGTTTTTTGATAATTGGTCTGTAACTTACGGAATATTAATGAAATTTGAGAGTTGATTAATATAAGAAGTATATATATATAGTATATATATATAATATATATATATATATAGATATATATATATATAATTATATTATTATATATATTATATATATATATATATATATATATACATATTTAAATACACATTGAAATACACATTGAAATACACATTGAAATACACATTGAAATACACATTGAAATACAACACACGATGAACTGTGAAATAGACTGTGATAAATTTTCTTAAACAGCCCCACTTTAAAAAATATTGGAACTGGTACCAAAAGTACTAACTTCTTATAATTGCATCGACAAATAAGTGCACGATGACTTCAACATATAAAACAAATCGTTTCATCGATAAAGAAGACTGGAATGTTAATTTAAAAAATTATTTCGCATATCTTACGACACCGTTCAAAAAGTATGTTATTTATTGTATTGGTACATTAACCCCAAAGGTAATAATTGTAAAAAGTACTCAGACTTTAATGTAAATACACTGTTTTTGGAGCAGACCACAAAGAAATTAATGCATGAAGTAGGTTACTGGCAAAATCGTCTGACATTGTCTGAAATCTGATGAACTGCATTATTTTTCTACTAAGTGGTTGAACAGTATTTCTATAAAACTGTCAATTCCCAGATTTTCTACACTAGTTTAATAATATCTTTTATATAGTTTGACCACTTTTCTTTATAAATTTTTTAATATATTACTCAAAATATTTCTTTCATTTTTTAAGTTCAGTTGGGTTTATTTCGTAGTTTCGTTATTATTTTTGTATTTGTTGATATCAGAATCATCAGAGAGTTGACACCTTTAAAATCATACGAATAAGCTGAATTTTGCAGTGAATATTAATTTTGGGACACTTAAAAGGTGCAAAAAAGTTTACCACTTTTACTCCCGGGCTTCCCCCTAAAACACCCCTCGCAGTGGAGTAAAAACGAAATAAAATCGATTTATCAAGAATCTTTTGATCCAAATGTCCTATCGACAAAAGTCAAGATGCGTTTTAAAGCTAATGAGTGCAGCTTTCGTATTAAGCTTTTGTATTTTGCCGAGGATAAACTCAGCTTTTATATTAAGATGACTTATGAGATCAATAAAATTGGTCATTTTCATTGACCAGTTGTAGTAAAATTTCCATTTATAGAGATCAATCTTTAAAACCTATGACATTAAATTTCAATTTTGAGTTGTTGTATAAAATACGGGGCATTTGAAATATGAATAAAAAAATGCAGAATTTAATGTTTTACATTACAAACGATCACTCGTCACGGGAAATGCGTTTAGGGAGACGGTTTTGGATGTAGTTTATTGAAGAAGTTTTGTTCTTTTGTAAAACGTACTAGCGTAATTGAAAAAAAAATTTAATGTTTTAGATCGTTTGTTATGTGAAAGTTAAATCCAGCGTATTTTAGCATATTTGAAATGTCTCTCATTTGTTGCCAAAACTCAAAACTAAAATTTCATTCTATATATTGTATGGATCTCCTGAGAATAATAAAAAATGGCATAAAGCGCGCCACGTTTATTTATTTAATACCTGTATAAAATCTGAGTTTATTATCGACAAAAACTTCATATGAAAGCTGAACTCTTTAAACGCATTTTGCATTTTGTCGATAGGTTACTTGAATCAAAAGATATTGAATTTTTACCGTCGAGCTGATACAAAATTTATTGAACATTTGAATTTACAATATTGATTATTGATTTTGCGCGCGTAACTGATGTGCAAAATCGACGGTTGCTTCAAGCGTTGTTTCTAACAGAATGGTTCATTCTACAAAAAAAATGCTTTTAAACATTTTTATTTAAATGTACTTCAGCATCATTTTTTACTTCAAACTTTTTTTTCTACGCTGTACAGATTCTTGGTAAATTGATTTTTTTTTGGGTTTTTACCCCCCTGCGAGGGGGTTTTTAGGGCGGTAAAAATGGTAAACTTTCTTGCATCGTTTTTGAGGTTTCAAAATTAATATTCTCGGCAAAATTCAGCTTATTCGCATGATTTTAAGAGATTCGGTGGCATTTTCGTCTATGACGACTGGAGTAATAGATTTTCCAAGATTTCATGGACAATGTTTTTGTTGTTTCATGTTGCGTCAGTCCTTTCTACCTCGAGATTCTCCATCCCCTAAGATTGAAAAAGTGATTACCTTCAAAAAAAAAATTTATTTAAAATCCTTTATAAAAGGTATATAATAAAATGCCCAAACGGGCTATCACAAAGATATTGCAAAACGTTTTCGAATTATTAAATCCATCATCAGTGCAAACGAGGTAGGTATATACATGCTATGAGCCACCAAAATATTATGGGTCCAAACCCTTTAAATGATATAAATTTATATACTGAACTGAAACCGTGAGCGATATACAGATATCGCTCACGTTCAAATCCGCAGCAACTTGCTTTAGTAACCAACCTTTTTCAAGTTTGAGAATTGTTCGTGTTTTTTAGGCGCCATTTTAAATACGTTCTAAGCATTTGGATGCGCTTAGTAGATTTTATTTTATTTTCTAATTGTGCGAAATTATTGACAAGCTTTTTGACATTTAGCAAATCCGCACGAACTGCGATTTTACAGTATTACAATGTAAAAATGAAGTTGTAAATTATTCAGTGACCGCACCTGTATATGTCTAAAACTTTTAGAAAAAATAATAAACGAACGATGAAGAATAATGACAGAACTCACATTAGACGAATCACAAAGTAGATTTAGAAGTGGTAAGGGTATACAGGGATCAAATATTTAAAACAGATAACACAAAAAGCGCTGCAAGAGAAGAAAAAAATATATGTAGCATTTCTTGACGCAGAAAAAGTCTTCGATAAAGTACCAAAACTATGAAAAATCACTAAGAGAAAAAGGAATGGACAACAAGTTACTAAGAATGATACACAAATATACAAAAATCAGATACGTTTACAGTAAATGCAGACTTAAGGCAGGGAGGAGCACTTAGCCCAACACTATTTCTAATATTTATGGGCGAAATTATTAAGAAATGCACAACAAGGAGTAAAAAACTGAATGTGGGTATAGAAATCTGCAAAGAGTAGAAATCTCGGACGGAATAGAAATTTCGGAAGGAGTATTTACTGAAGATTTGGTGCTTATTGCAAAAACTGAAAAGGAACTTGAGAATAATTTGGTAACATGGAATGAAATACTCACTAAAAATGGAATGAAAATAATTAACAAAACAAAAGTTATGTAGATATGAAAAACAAGAGACGAGCTTAATGTAGAAATTGAGGGAACCAAAGTAGAACAATTTAAAACTTCTACATACTTAGGAGTAATAATAGAAGAAACAGAATCTCTAGAAGTAGAAATCGATAGCAGAGTCGAGAAAACGCGATATAAGGAACGAACTGAAAATACAATCCACATTGAAGTTTATAGTACAGAGACAGCTAAGAGTCATTTACACTAGATGACAGATCTCATGCCAGTGACAGCAGCGTGGAAAGCAAACTTATTGAAAAACAAAAATAGATGAAGATCAAGACAGGCATGAGATACAGTAATCGGAAAGATGAGCGACATGGACAGACGCAAGGATGTTGACACTAAACTACAAAAAATAGAAGACTTGTTAAAATAGTAAATTAAAAACTTAGCAAATGTTATCTCTAAATACATTAAAAATGCCTTACTTTTTAGTGGCAGACGAAAGTTCTTAAAATGGTATATTTTGGACATCTAGATTTAAAACTCAAGTCAAAGATGACTTGAGGAATCTAGGAGTCAGAAATTGGAAAGCCAGAGCGAACGATATGGGAAAATGTAGACTAATTCTTGAACAATCCAAGACCCACTTGTAAAGCAAAGATGATGATGATGATATTTTGGACATTAAATTATGTATAATTTAAAAAGTCACCGAAACCACTGTAGGAAATATGGAGATTTTGGTTATTTAGGTCCATAAAATCCAAAAAAACTTGTCAGCATACCTGGCGGATTCAAAGTCCCAACAGGTTACTATTTTACATTATTTCTCTGGAGTATTTGTGTATTTCGTTCAGATTTATAGTGTTATTCAACATTTCGTGTACATAAATATAAATAAATAAAAACAAGTCATATACTGATGCTATGGAAATGAACTATTGGAGGCAATGTTTCTAGCTTACTAGACTTTATAAGGCGAGGCACGAAAATATTCGGAAATTAATCTAGACATAATAAGATACAGTTGAATCCAAAAGAGTAACTGCTAGGAAGGAAAGCTGCAGATAATGCTTACACATAAATAGCCAACATGATAGAAAAATGGACTCCGTCCACTAGAAGAAAACGAGGTAGATTGCTTCGACAGACCTCGCTGAAAATTAGGATGAGCGAAACAGCGCCAATTGTAGAAAAGTCGCCTATAGATAGATGTAGATAATATTGTTATAAGAAATTGTTTATTGTAGCCTTTTGTGCTACTGTAAGACATTCATACTCCTTCTACTACATAATTTGAATAATCATATTTATTTTAATATAATCAACTGGTAAATAATATAGTCACGAATGACACTTCGTGACCATCAATCCAGTTAAAATTATACACACAAACAATTATTTCCGTAAATATTGTGAATATATACAACAAAATGGAAAGTTTCAATCTGAAATAAAATCGGAAATGAGGTAACGTTAGTACATAAATTAAAAGTGGTTTACCTTATTCGTGATTGTGGCAGCTTCGTGCAGTTCGTCTAAGGTTGGTCTGTTGGCTGCTCGAAAGGACATGATATTTCTATAGTTATCCAAACGAGGCAACGCTTCTCTTGTCAAACGTCTAAAAAAGAAAAATGACAATTACCTAAAATATTAACGCTTAATTGATATTCACAGAAAATCTATAAGAATTGTTGTACCATCGTTTTGAACGAAGTAAGAATGCAATTGAACTATATTGTCACTCACTGAATTTTCTTCTTCTCCGACGAAGATAAGAAAGTAAAATAATTTTATGGAAAAATAAACTAAGTCATGAAGAAAAGCAGAGCAAATTATAATAATATAATCAAAATATGTGAGTTGTATACCAAAATAGGAAACAAATGAGAAAACCAAAACATAATTTATGAACTACCGACCACCGTGTGAATTAAAAAAAAACATATACAGACGTGAAAAACCAGCAAAATTATGCTATTAGACCAATTTATTTAAATAAAAAATCTTTATTAATCTGGGTAACATTTGACCGACTACAAACAGTTCTAAATCAAATGTACGTATCACTTTCGGCAAAACAATTTGTGCAGTTTATACTGCTAGGCTTAATGTATGCAACATAATCCATAAATTACAAGTATCTTAGCGTGCCATGAAACGTAGAATATTCAACATCAAGATACAAGATATATATTAGGGGATTCAAATAGCTGACGTCTCATTCCCACGTCTAGTCACCATCTTTGTCTGCCTTGAGCGTCCTCTTCGTCAAAATTCCTGCGCTCCGATGCCATCCTGATAATTCCATTACGGGATAATCTTGTTCTTCATCTGTTACGTTTTCTTGGCAGATTTCATATACATATTCTACTGGACCATCTACCATTCTCTCAGTAGATGTCATAAACTACTTAAAACTGTTCCTTTCTATTCTATCAGTTAACGTGTCTGCGACATTTAATATATCTCTAATGGCATCGTTAGTAATTCTCTTACGCTTTGATATTCTGGCACCTCTTCGAAGATAGTCCACCTCTAGTACATCTATCTTCATTATTTAAAGACCACATTTTACTTCCATAGGTTACTGTCTACAAATGCTCTTCCAATCATAATTTTTATTTTTTCTGACGTCTGTCCCACCGTACTGAATTAAGACTTCCAATTACTTTCTTTCTCTGTTCCATTCGTTGTCTAATTTCCTCTTATCCTAGCGCATCTGTTGTCCAAAGTGCTCCTAGATATTTAAATAATTTTAATTATGGCATTTTTACGTCATTGTTAATCAGAACCTCAAAACTAGCTTCAGAGTTGAACACTTAATATTCTGTTTTTTACAAACCGATGTTTTCCCCATTATATTTATGCTCCGTATAGTCCTCTCATCATAAATTGCAGATCATAAGAATCCTGTGTAACAAAAGCTTGATCATCTGGAAAGTTAATGCTGGTTAAGTAGCCGTCGACCACTGGTATTCCCACTGGGATGACTGGATAACATATTATCAACACGAATTTAGGCCTTGTTGTTTCTTTATATTTCCTTAAAAATATTAATTATCGAATGCTCAACTTCAAGTTCGTGTAAAGCTTCTTATAATTTTAACCTTGATACGTTATTATGCACCTCTTTTTATATGTGTTTCTTTTCCTATCAAATGTCACTTTTCTATGATTTGTTTACGAAGAGATTACCAACACAGGATCTTTCGGATCTTAGAGTGCTGTTAACCGACAATCCTCTGTAATTCACTTTTTCATTTCTTCTTGTCTTACTATCTATCACCTATGTATAAAGATTTTATATATGATATTTTCCATTTTTCTAGTGTCTCATTAATTTATACATCTATTAAATAATCGCGTTAAATGCTCTGGTCACCTTCGTATTTGATCAATTTCATCATTATTCCAACTGATTCTGGAGCCGTATAATTTTTCGTAGTAGTTACAGCTGTCCATACTTCTTCTGTTGATAATTTAGTGCCAATATAATGTTCTGAAGCTATTTTCTTGTTACATTTTAAATAAATTACTATTTAAATGGGAATAAGCCACAATTAAAGGTTAAAGTACGTTTATTGACGTTTTAATTTCCACTTCGGAAATCGTTCTCAAAATACAAACATTAGTAAATTCTTGTATAGAATTTCCAATCTCCGAAAATTTTGAATAGCGCTGGGCCCATAACGGTTTCTTAATATTGTTCTGAAGCTATTTTCTTGTGGTATTTTAAATTAATTACTATTTAAATGGGAATAAGCCACAATTAAAGGTTAAAGTACGTTTATTGACGTTTCAATTTCCACTTCGGAAATCGTTATCAACATACAAACATTTACTAATGTTATCAATATAATGTTGTAACGCATTCTGCTATATTGTTATGTATATTCCTACTTTTCGTTCATAGCTTTTCATAATGAGTTTTCCAATCTTCAATCGGAATAACGCCGATTCTTTGTTCTGTACGGTTGGTTTTCATCTTTTTTAATGATCTCCATACTTTAGTGGACTGCGAACAGAAAGTGCCTCTGGTTCTGTTGTGTGCCAAGAGAACACAACAGAACCAGAGGCAGATTCAGACCAGATCGATGCCATCAAAGGAATTGCTGGTCAGGAATTGATGCAAAAAGCAAAAAAAACATAAACTAATGAACACACCTAAAGGATGTCTTAAATTCGACGATAGATGAAATAGCTGTTGATAATGATGATGATCAGAAACAAATATTTTAATCAATACTTTTGCTCAGTTTTGTTGATTAAGCTCTACAATGCATTGCTAAAATTAAAGTATTTCTTCTGCATAGTGAAAACATAATCAAAACACAAAATGAGGTTAGTTTTTACTAACCAATAGATAAGTTTTTCCTAAAATTATAGTAAAAATACTGATTAAGAGATTGACCGATACTGTCATAGAAACAAAGTGGATGGCAGTTGGAAAGATCAATATAGATCAAGGTCTGATTTCTCTATATCACGTAAGGCTTTTATGAACTGGAAACCAGTTTTATGCAACAGAAACCTGTCGATGAATATTCGTAAGAAGGTCCTGAAATGTTATGTGCGGTCCATCCTATTGTATGGTTGTGAGACATGGACGTTAAAAACCACAATGCTATTCAAGTAGAAGCATTCGAATTGTGGTGCTATAGACGAATCCTAAAGATATCGTGGGTTTCACACACTTCCAATGAAGATGTTCTTCAAATGATCAAATCAGAACGTCTGCTCATAAACACCATAAATAGGAGAAAAACAGAATACTTCAGCCATATAATTAAAGGACCTAAATACCATCTACTTCGCCTTATAATACAAGGAAAAGTGGAAGGAAAGAAATGGATTGGTCAAAAGAAACTATCATGGCTGCGTAATATTAGACAATGGAGTGGTTTCACAGTAGAAGAATTATTTCGCGCAGCAGCCGACAGAGAAAGGTTTCAGGAAATTGTAAACATGATGACGGCCAACGTCTGAATACGGACACGGCACCCAAAGAAAAATAAGTCATAGAAACAAATTCAATCTCTAATTGTCAATGTTGTTTTGCTAGAATGTTTCTGAAGTCTACAGTTGAGAGTTTAAAAGTCTTCTAGTTGCACCGGTAATCTATATGTCCTTGTACCAAGGCTAATCAATTTTTAGAGTTAATTTAAGCGGAATGGAGTGTCTTGAGATATGCTTGACTGTTGGAGTAAATCACAATTGTTCCGTTCAAATTTCATAGCGCTATTTGGTGTAATAGCAACTTTAGACTGAAATGCAGTGACGTATCTTAACAAATATTGTAAAAAACAGAAAAACGAGTTAACTAGGATATATTTACAGAGGAGAAACATACAACTTCCTACGACTTATAATGGAAGGGAAAGTGAAAGGAAGAAGAGGTCCAGGAAGAAGAAAATGCTCCTGGTTGAAGAATGTAAGAGACTGGACAGGCATGGAAACACATTCGATACTAACAACAGCTCACGATAGAGAGTAATTTGCTATAGTTATAGCCAACCTTCAGTAATATAGAAGGCACTTTAAGAAGAAGATCTTAACAAATTTAATTGGAATTCCATGTTTGGTTCTCTGTTATGTACAGCCATCCCTCTACGTTAGTCAGTTTTAGAGCTGTTAGTATTCCAATTAAAATAAGAAAAATATCGTCTGGGCCACATACTTTGAAACGATAAAAACTCTCTTCTATACGTCATCATGCAAGGAAGAGTAGAGGGAAGAAAAGGCTTGGGAAGAAAGCTTCAGAACAATATGGGTCTTTTTTATTTCCGTAGAAAACTGATTTTTCCCATCAATTTGCTCAGAACTTTTCACATCCCCTCGTACTAATCGTATTATTTCACAAATCCAACACTTGTTATCTAAAATACTAATAAGTTATGCAATAATTGGATTAGCAAACTAAAAACCAAACAAATCGATAACGTTTTGCTACAAATTAACGAAAATCCAATTACATTTACCTAAAACTTTTTAAATAATCGCTGTTCAACTTGGTTCTATCGGTGCAGGAATGAACGTCATCTTCGTCATCTGTTGGAATATTGACTTTAACTCTAAGTTCAACTTCTTCGTCTTCCCCTTCATTTCTAACCCTGTTAACTTGGAATCTGGTTTGCTTCTCTCCTTTTCCGTTCAAATTTTCCAATTCAGTGCTGTTTTCCGACAAGTCCAGATTGATGTCGTCTCGGCTGGATTTTTTTGACATTGTCAGCTGAAAAACAACAAATTGTCTATCTAAGTAAATAAAAGTAAATAAATATATTCCATTTTAAAAATTAATTTTTGAGATCAAAAAAATTAGTATCAGTATGGAACCCATTGTAAAAGGAAGAAAATAAAAACTTAAAAAAAATAATTTACGGATGATCTGAGGTCGGAGGAAGGGGTTGAGTTTTTAAGAGTAAAAAATGGTTTAGGGGAGAATGTGGCATTGTGAATCATCTAAGGAAGATATGCACATATAGTTAAGTCATAATTTTTTTTTTAAACATATAGTTAAGTCATAATTTTAAAATAATTAGGAACATTTATTAAACATTTAACGAGCATTTAGTTGCAGTTAAAAGTGAATTTATTTAACGTATTTACGACAAAAAATTACAACTGACTGTATATCAAAAGTTCATATTGCCCCACAGGGTGGGAAAACGCGAGCTACTGAGGAAAATCAAACTATTTCATTACCCAATGGCTATGTTTTGCAAATAAAATCAAGAAAAAAGTAATTTGTTATCAAAAAAAACTTAGAAAACTGGTAAGCGAACATTAGTAAAAATATATACATATTATACTTATTTACAAATACAAAATTTACACTGAAATTCTTCATAATCTTCTGAATCTATTCCCGCATATGCTTCATGAGCCTATTTCAGACAGACTGAGCAACGTATCTATCCTTCTTCATCGGCTAATACGGAGAACCACTTGTTACAGTAGAAACAAAGAATATAGACGCTTAGCGTCTAAGCGTCAATATTCTTTGGTAGAAATATTCAACATCTTCATCATTGTTTTTTTGATGTACTTGATGGTTACATTTATTTTTGCCTTTCCCTTACCATCGTTGGAAGGAGTAAATTTTATTTTTTTGTTACTTTTTTTACTGGCTTCATGTTTATCATAATTTATTTTTTTCACAGCTTTTTTCTTTTTCATTGTTTGTTTCGCATCCTTCATGTTTATTTCAAGTTCTAATTCTAGCTGTTACGGACTAGATGTCAGTACAGGTGTGTAACCTTTTTTAGATTTCTTGGTTCCTCTTTGGTTCCATTAATTTACTTCTCTTTTGCAGAGGACGAATGTCTTTAGGGCTGTTTGCTTCAAATGAAATTGTTGGTATATTGTCTGCAGGGGAAACTGTCAACTGCAAATCGGTACTGGTATGAAGATTTGCAGTTGAATTTAAAGCAATTGCATAATCTTGGATTGGTTGAGGCTATGCAGTTAAAGTTGAAGTAATTGCCTCATCTTCACATGACAGTGGTAGACCATTATTCTCTAAATCTCTTTCAGTCATAGCAGATCGTGCAAAATCTAGGTCTCTAAATATTTTGGGATCATGAGAACTATCCCACATTTTTAAAAGCGTTAATAGCAATCAGAAATATTGTAGTTTGTAAAAAAGCCTCACCAAAATTTTTAGAAATTTGGAAAGTCGTTACCACTCTGCCTGGGTTATTATTAAGAAACTTTTCTAATGCCATATCATAATATCATGTCACAAAACGTGCCCTAAAACCCACATCGATTGGCTGCATTCGATGGGTGGAATGTGGAGGTAAACGAATGATAATATGTACATGTTTCTCGCTAGCCAAATAAATTACTTCTATGTTTTTTGTATGACTGGTTTGTTCATCAAAAATTAATAAGATCGGATCACCTTCACTTGATTTCGCTTATCGAATAAAATGTTGAAACCATATTAAAAATAAATTCTTATTTATTCAGCCACTGTCGCTACAGGCGAATATTCAACCTAGAGATGTACCAGCTTGGAGTTCGACTTCTATTTTCTTCTTTACAAATATTAACATCGGCGGTATGAATATTCCTGATCATGACATGAAAACAACGGCTGTTGTTATTCCACTTCTATCAGCAGAAGTCAGCAGTCCAACTTGTTTCCGTCCTTTATGCGCGAAGATTTTACTATTACATTTGGTGATTGTACCTAGACCTGTTCCGTAAAAGTTAAAAACACGCGTTGGATTGATATGTTTAGAATCCAAAAAAGCTTTATACAACTCAAAGAATTGTTTAACATTGTAACCATTAAAAGCTTCAGCCCTTTCAACAGATGTTGATTTGGGTTTTGCGTAATGAAAGCCTTGGGTGCCGTTTTCGAAATCCGTATGCCCAATCTAAACCTGCAAGTTTCTTTGCTTGGTTGTATGGATGGTCTATTTTATTTTTAGGATATATGAAGTTATACACAGAATGTGTAGGCAAAAAAATGCTAGAAGAGTGGAATAAGGCTAATATCTGTCCAATCTATAAAAAGCACGATCTCTGTCAAAACTATAGATGAATCTCCTTGCTGTGTTGTGGATATAAAATATTTACCAGTATGGCTACAACTCCTAGGCATAGCAGAAAGAAAGAGACACACATCCATTCAAATAACACAGGCTAGCACCAACACTGTTTAATTTAGCACTGGAATAGGTAACTAGAAAAACCTCAGAAGTTAGAAACAATACACTTATTAATAGATCAGTCCAACTGGCAGCATATGCAGATGACATAAATATCATCAGCAAAACCAAAGCAACAAGCAAGAATACGTTTATACGTATATATATATAAACAAATAGGTCTGTCAATAAACAAAAAAAGACTAAAATCCTAGTGCAAAGCCGATCGGAGGAAGCAACACAACTCAACCTGACAGTTGACAACTTAGAAAAAGTAGATAGTTTTATCTATTTAGTAGTCAACATTACAAAGAACAATATTGACGATGTAGAACTCAGCAGAAGAATCATCCTAGTCAATACGGCATACCTTGCTATGAACCAGATGCTTAAATCACGAGACGTAAATCAAAGGACTTAGATGAATCTTCTTCTTCTTTGCGTGCCATATCAGAACTATCCGACGTTGGCGATCACCATTGCGAAGGCTTCTCGATCTTCTGCAAAATGGAATAATTGTCCTGCATTTGGTATCTGGGTCCATTCACGAATGTTTTTTAACCAAGAAACTTGTTTTCTTCCTACACCTCTACGGTCCTCTATTTTGCCTTTAAGGATCAGTTGTAAAATTTTATATTGACTTCCCCTTACTATATGTCCCAGATAAGACATTTTTGATACGAATCTACAAGACCATAATCTGACCGACAGTGAGTTAGGGATGGGAAACTTTGAAATTTACTCAAAAATCTGTAAATCGCACGGATATCTTTAAAAGAAATGTGATTCGAATACTACGTCCTATAAATGTGAATAACAGGTTGGCGATATGTAGTATAATGAAAAGGAATGTAGAAGGGCAATTCCGGGATCATCATATCCAGTAAATGATCCATAATATAACAGGCCGAAAAAAGTAAATTTTGTAAAAAAGTATGTAGATGACTTAATCCTTGCTATTCCTAGTAATGGTGCAACAGAAATTCTACTGGTATTTAACAAATATGACCCTCTACTACAGTTCACAATCGAACATGAGGATGATCTATGCTCAGTCCCCTTTCTTGATAACCGGTTCATTAGAACCCATAACAACTCTCTGATAATCGACTGGCACAGAAAACCTGGACGTTTTCTTAACTATTGGTAATATCATCGTTATTCAATAAAAATCAATTTGCTGAAGCAAATGAAAGCTAGAATTACATCGATCAGTGAGTTCCCTGATCAGTTCTCTCCATCAGAAGAACCTGAGAATTCTTTATAAACTTTTTATTGACAATTGGTACCCAAAACACCTAGTGACTAAGATATTATTCAGTTTGACACCTAACATAATACGCCAAAATGATGAGTTTCAAATTACTGTCACAAGCGAAAAACCGAATACCAATTGCTTATATACTTCTTTAAAATATGTTAAAGACATAACACCCAGACTGGCAAGATTGTTTAAAGATATTACCAACTTAAAAATAGCCTTTAAAACCTCATTAAATTCAAGATCTATATTTTCTAAAGTTAAAGATAAGAATGACATTAATAATTGTTCCAACGTTGTCTACCAAATTCCATGTGACAACTGTAATTTAGTATATGTGGGACAAACCTCACGCAGTTTAAGTAATCGCTTAATTAGTCACCGGAGTGATAGCAGATTATATCCTGAAAGATCTGCTCTAGCAGAACATGTTAACAAAGAACATCATAAAATGAATTATGAATCGGTTAAAGTTTTAGCTATAGAGTCTAACTACACTAAAAGACTTTTCTTAGAAATGGCATTCATTTCTCAGAATTCCAATGCAATGAACAAAAGGAGTGATATAAATCAAATAAGCACTATTTACTCCTACCTATTATATTTAGATAAGCATTCTCTATTCCAACGATGTCTCTTTAACTTATTCATTGTAATTTCTCAAATTTCATTCTTCTATCTTATAAATAAATTTTTAGTTTACAATTTTGTTTCAAATAACATTCTGGTAAATTTTTGATTTATATTCTATTGTAGATGTATGTATTTCTTCATAAGAAAATGAAACAATAATAAAAGAAGAAGTGGTGTCATTTCTATGTCTAGAAATGACATTTTCTCTTAATAACAATTCACAGTTGGCCTTTAAACCTTTTTTTAAATTTTGTCTTTTTCTTGGGTCAGTTTATATAATTTGTCTTTTCAATTTGTTTTTAACTCAGTTTATGAGTGGTGCATAATATAGTCACATGTTAGTTTAACATCCAAGAAATAACAATCTCAATAACGTAAGTAAAAAACAACTTTTACATCTTTTAATTTAAAATTTTTTTTCGAGGATGTTTTACTAACATTAGCACTTTATTTTAGTTTTTCAGTTAAAAGAGTATACTTATTTCATAGCTGCGTATCCCAATAATCCTCAAATCTCCGTTTTATTATATATATATATATATATATATATATATATATATATATATATATATATATATATATATATATATATATATATATATATAATGTAAATTAGCATGGATGAAAACAGGATTTCAAACAAACTGTTAAACGCAACAATGCAGGAGAAGACACGGGAAGATGATATAGATGAGAACGTAAGAAATCTCCTTGGCAGTCGATCATGGAGAAGAATAGCTACAGATCGTAATGAATGGAGAGGTTTCATGAGGGAGGCCTTGGTCCAAATTTTGCTGTAGAGCCGTGGGATGGAGGATGGAGTATAAAGAATGACAAGACTCAGTAGGAAAGATCCTTTATCAAGAGAGAGCTAACAGCTGGGACTTCTACAAGCCAACGATATAACTATTATCAATAAGTTCCTGACATTATGCTTGAGAATGACAACTTAAAGCTATATTGGGACCGCACTATGCTCAAAGGCCAACCATTGGTACAAACTACACCAGATCTGTTAATAAATTAACTAGACAAACAACATTAATTAATGTACCGATACCTAACAACTATAAAATCTTCGTGTTAACTCTAAAGAAAAGATCGCCAAGTACAGAAATCTGTAAATTTAAATATGGAGACAATGAAGAATGGAAAGGACTCTACCTATTATTCTCTCTACTACTATTATTATCCTCCGTGGGTAGTTGTTTGTCTCCCATCGGACGCATCCCCAGATGGTGGATATGGGAACGCCCTAATCGGACATAGGACCGGTTGGTAGTTGAAAAAAAACCAACTGCGAACCAAAACAGACTAAGGTATGGCAACCCTAACGGAAGAGCTGGCCCTCCAAGTTAGTGGTTGTGCTAGAGGCTGACAACCTCTTCCTGTATTAAAACATACGTTACGACTTTGCAAACGAAAAATGGAATTGAGATTTGGAACATGGAATGCCCTGTACCGAATTGGTGCACTCACATCTTTACTAGACATAGTGAACATATACAGAGTAGATTTTTAGCACTGCAGGAAATGCGGTGGACTGAAAATAAACCAGAGGACATAAAACAACAATTTGATACACAGACATAAAACAACAACGACATTAAGACTGGTTGTTAGATAGACTGGGAAAGATAATCTCCCATCTGAACTATATAAAGAAGGTGGCCATGATACAATTATGCCATTACAGCAGCATAAAAAAAATATAGACACAGAAATCCCTCCCCAATGATTGAAATATTGGAATACTTTGCACGGTATACAAAAAAGGAGATATCTTTGAATACTCGAACGACAGAGAAATTACGCTTCTAAATGTAGTGTATAAAATATTTTCCACAATACTATGTCACCGCATGGCACCATATGCAAAACGAATAGTAGGAAAATACAAAACTGGTTTCAGAGGGTAAATCGACAATTCATCAGATTGCAACCCTGAAACAAATTTTGGAAAAAACACTGTTATATGGCATTGATACTCATCACATATTTATAGACTACAAAGCAGCCTGCTACTTTTTAAATAGAAGAGAAATGTTCAAAGCAATGAAAGAGCTAGGAATAACAAATCAGTTAGTAAATTCAACAAAACTAACTCTTGAAAAATTTAAATGTAGAGTACAAATTCAGGGGGAACTATCTAAACCTTTTAAAAGAAATAACGGGCTGCGCCAGGAATAGCCTCTCTCCTGTATACTGTTTAATCTGCCTGTGGAAAAAATAATATGTATGTCATAAATCACAACCACTGGTTCAATATATAATAAATCAGTGCAAATTCCTGTCTATGCTGTCTATGCATTATTGTTAGGAGAACGGAAAACGCTGTACGAGAGGCGTATATAGCATTAAAAGAATCAGCTACAAAATTGGGTTTAATAATAATCACCAACAAAAATGGATGATAAAGATCGGCGTATAATACAAAATTATACTGAACCAATCATCACAATAAGAACGAATTTGGAGGTGAACAACGGAAATGATCCAGATTCTACGAGGCGTTAACAGGTTGTATACTTTCACCTTATATTATTTAATCTAAATTCAAGGAAATATTTAGTGAAGCCTTGAAAAATGCGAACAGGAAATACTTTCTAAATGGAGTAACGCCTAAAAAACATATCCGTTTATGCAGACGGCACTGTTATTGTGTTGCAGACAGTTTGAACCAGTTTACAGCACTAATAAACAAAGTAAATGAAGTAAGTGAAAGATTTAGGACTTCAAGTAGTAATATAACAAAAACAATTTATGATTATCACAAAAATAAAGTTAAGACGCTCAACTACTTATCAACAATACAACCAGTGGACCGAGTCAAACAGTATAACTAACTTGAACAACATAAATGAACAATGGGATCACTCACAGGAAATAAAATGAAGAATAGAGAAGGCTAGAAGTGCATTTCAATAACCATGGCCAACTCTTTAAAAGCCACAATCTTAATTTTGGAGATAAAATTAAGCTCCTACGATGTTAAATCTTTCTCATATTGTATTACGGAGTTGAATCCTGGACACTATACCTGGAAGCCAACATGGAGAAAAACTTGAACCTTCGATATTGGCTATACAGAGCGAATTCTAAGAGATTTCATGGACAACAAGATAACCAACGAGACCGTATTACGAAGAGTGGGCAAAGAAAGAGAGTGATGTATACCATTTAAAAGAGAAAGTTGGAAATCCGCCATATAATTAAAAACAGCACTAAATACAGAATTACTGAAGGTAATCCTACAGGTAAGTACAATTCGGAAAGTCGAGGAATTGGGTGAAGGAGAATATCATGGATGAAGAACCTGAGGAAATTGTTATCTCACCACAACAACAACGAATCATTTTAAGCATCATTTATTAAAATAATTATAGCCAGAATGATTGCCAATATTCGGAACGAATAGGCACTGAAAGAAGAAGACCAACAAAAACGAAGTTTATGAAAATAAGCAGGCAAACACAAATCCTACGACCACTTTTTATAGAAAATGACGTCATCGAAGAAGTGAACGAATTTGTATACCTGGGAACGCTCCTTAACACTGAAAATAATACTACCGCAGAGATAAATCCCAGAATTTGCATGGCCAACAGATGCTATTTTGGGCTCAATGTCCTTGTTAAATCTACCATTAAATCGAGAAATACAAAAATAAAACTTAACAAAACAACAATACTCCCAGTCCTAACATTATGGTTCAGAAACCTGGACAAAAAATAATCAAAACATGTTAGGAAGTTACGAAAGAAAAATAATAAGGCAAATCTAGGAGTGTGGAGAAGACGATACGACTTCAAACTTTATAGAATATACCAGAAACCTGATATCGTAAACCATATTAAGATATGACATCTAAGGTGGATAGGACATGTAATGCGGATGAAACAATATGACCCAGCTAGAAAAACGCTCCTTAATTGACCCATTGGCCAGAGAAGAAGAGGAAGACCCAGATCAAGGTTCCTTGATAACATCTATGAAGACATGAGAAATATGGGATTACGTTCTTGGCGGAGAAAGGCGATGGATAGTGACGACTGGAGAGAAATTCTTGTGGAGGCTAGGACCCACCCAGGGTTGTAAAGCTAAAATAATGATAACTACTGTTATCCCAAAAAATCTCCTAGAAATCATAAAACCATCTGGGTTTGTGTGACCATCTTTATAAGACCATGCAGAAAGCTGTAAATACTTCAGCATACCATTTCACCTAGGTCTCGATAACACGGAAGCAGTTCTCAACCAGGGCTTAATCTTTTTTATACCATAGGTATCTGGGACAAGTAAATTTTTCCCTTAGAAGCAGAGAGAGTTGTATGACTTAAATCTGGGTAATATATTTACTGCTGTAAAATATCTACATGGATAAAAACTGTCACAAAAAAACCTTTGAACACATTTCAATAACTATGTATTACTCAAAAATTAAAACTATAAAATAAGTTGATGATGATGACTACATCGATAAAAGCTAATGTCAAAAAAACCTTTAAACACATTTAAGTAACTATGTATTACTCAAAAACTATGAAATGAGTTGCTTTACGTTTACGAAGAAAATGACTGAATTTTTAAATCTACGTACCTCATTTATATTATTTGTAATAGGTGATAGTTTGTTATTGGCTTTATAGCTATGTAATGAGTGATTTTTTTAAGAAAGCAGGTGTATGATGTTGAGTTAAAAGAGCTTTTCTACTGCCAGTAACCATAAGCATAGTAGCTGCATATTATTTTCATTTGAATAAATAGGGAATATATTTCTTCACCTATATGACATACTAATGAACATAATCATTACATTATCTTTATGAATCGAATAATGAAAAGTTGTCCAGAATTAAAAAAAAAATTAACAGTTAGGAAACATGACAATTTTTTAGATAAACTGTGCACATAGATCAAATTGCATTAAATATTTTTAAAATATAATAAATAATCGTTTTTACCAACAGTGAAGCAACTCGCAACTTATTTCACTGCACTTAATTTACCATCCACTAACAACTGGCATTTTCCACCAAAGTCTACTCTAGTTTTTCAACCACTTTCTTTTTCCCGATTAGATATTCAGAGTGTTGACGGCTTTTGGCTGGTGCATACAAAACGGTACAAGAAAACACGTGTAACAGCATTCGCGTCGCGACAGTAAACGTAAACATTGAATGATTGCATAGCAATGCATCGCGGATTGAGGAAAAGCCGGTTCGATTTGGATCTACCTCGTCGTTAGCATAGCGATCAAAAGCATGTGCAACGTGCGGAATGATTTAGGGGAGAGTGGAGAACCGAACGACCGAACCGCACACCGAAGCAAATTTCTTCGTGATATAAAAAAGTAATCGATAGTTTCCAAACAGGAAGTTTTGAAGGGGAAACTACAGAAGGGTGCGATACAATTCGGATATATGCGCATATTGATATGCAATGTGGATAATTGTAGTAAGATATTCCTTTGAGTTGACCGTTTAAAAAGAAACAATATATGAGGGGCTTAAAAGCCAAACGCAATAATTTATATTTAACCGGTATCTTTAATATGAGAAAAATATTATCAAAAAAGTGTTTTGGCAATAAATTAGTGTAATTAAAGCAAAAATGAAAAAATTGTAAATTTTTTATAATGATATATACAGTGAAACTTCTTCATAACGGACGCCAACGGGGAAATAATTGTCCGTTGTGTAGAGTGGTCGCTTAATCAATTGAAATGAAAAACGGACGCGGGGAAAATAATTGGCCGTTGTGTAGAGTGGTCGCTTAATCAATTGAAATAAAAAACAGGTTTCGATTTGCTTGATTTTTGATTGTACATTTTTGTACATACAGTACATTCAACCAACTTTCAGCTCTACATGATTAACGGAATTTACAGAAAACCTTTCGTTGTAGTAAAAGGCACGGTAAACTGAACTGGTGTTCTCCATAATGTTTAATACTTTGCTAAATTTTAGGTATAAAATAAATATATGTTTCATTAACCCGTTGTTCATAGTTTTGCATATTTTGTTACATTTTTTTTAATAAATAGTATTCTTACCTAATGTATAATACTCTTGCATAATAACTGTTAAAACTAGTGGAAGAGGATAACTTAGAAGTATTGGCAGATTTATTCAACACGGTGTACGATATGGGAATACTACCACAAGAGTGGCTGAAGTCAGTATTTACAACCGTCCCTAAAAAACAAGCAGCAAAATAGTGCTCTGATTATCGAACACTGAGCCTCATGAGTCATACTTTAAAAGTACTGCTGAAACTAATACATAAGGAACATACGAAAGGCTAGAGGAGGATATTAGCGAGACGCAGTTCGGGTTCCGAAATGGAATGGGTACTCGAGAAGGACTATTTGCCATCAACATACTGATTCAGCGATGTCGGGATGTAAACGTTGATCTACACTTGTGCTTCGTTGACTACGAAAAAGCTTTCGATAAAGTAAGACATGAAAAACTAATATCAATATTTATGAGCAAGCGCATTGACAGTAAAATTATAAATATAGTGCAACCATTATATTGAAACCAAAGAGCCATAGTTCAAATTGATGAGCAACACTCAGAAGAAATAAAGATCTGTAGAGGAGTTAGACAGGCATGTGTTTTATAGCCACTTTTGTTTAACTTATATTCTGAAGAAATTTTCCAAAACACGCTTAATAATATCGAAGCGGGACTCACCGCTAACGGAAAATTAATTAACAACTTACGATATGCAGACGTCACTGTGACAATAGCGACGAGTATAGAGGATCTACAACATCTTATCGAAAGCTTGAGTATGAATAGTGCTGAGATGGGAATTACTATAAACGCTAAAAAAACAAATTACGTGGTAATTACACAAAGACCACAAAATATCACCTATTGACAATCAATGGTAACGTGATAGAGCAAGTAGCAAAATATCAGTACTTGAGTCTTTGATCAATGAAACCAATGATCATACTGTAGAAATAAACAGGCGAATAGAGATTGCCAGATCAGCATTGATCATTAAAAATGTAATTTAAAAGAATCGAGGCTTTCGAACTCTGGTTAATAAAAATATCATGGATTGATAGAATTACAAATAAAGAAGTACTGGAGAGGGTTGGTAAAGAAACAGAACTAATCACCACTATACAAACCAGAAAACTTAAATACCTGGGCCACGTGATGAGGGGACCAAAATATGAAATTTTGAGACTCATAATGCAAGGAAAGATTCAGGGAAGAAGATCTGTTGGCCGAAGGTAGAACTCATGGTTAAAGAATCTACGTGATTGGTATTAATGCAGATCGATTGATTTGTTTAGAGCAGCAAGTTCTAAAATAAAAATATCCATTATGATTGCCAACCTCCATGGGGAGACGACATTCTAAAAGTTTCTTTCACCACTCAAGTACAACAGGTAGAAAGTTTTTGTCATATTGATCTAAACTTAGTATATTGTAATTCAAACGTATAGTTTCAAGTGACCATAATGCCTAGACGTAACTAGGATATTGATGAATTAATTGAAAATGTGCATAAATACTTTACCACGGAAAGAAACAATGGTGGAACTTTCATTATTATGTATAAAAATGATGGACAAAGTCATTATTATGCATAAATAAACAGGTTTGTGATGCACTCGGGATAGGTGAAAGTAAGCTAAAAACTGTAATGAAGACTGTCAGAGATTCTCAAGAAGATCTTACTGTGACTGAGTATCACGAAGACGAAGAGTATTTTGTATCGAATGCGTAAAAACAATTAACATGTCAATTTAGGTACTTTACTGGCCAAAATAAGAGAAAGACAAGTTTCTGAAATTAAGAGGACTAGCCTTTGAAAAGTTGGAAAGTGTGAAAGGGATTTAGAATTTAAACTCAAAAAAAAATTATTGGTTACTTTTATGCGACAGAATTAGTATGGTTTACAAAAGAATTAAATTTTTAAGACAATATACTAGACTTAAATCTGAAAATGCAACATTCGTATACTTAGATGAGACATGGATATTTGCAAAGGGTGGAATTAAAAGAATTTGGCAAGACGACAGCATAAAATGAATAAAATACACATATAGCAAAGGCAAAAGACATATCATTCTTCAAGCCGGAGGGAAAAAGGCTTTATAGAAAACGCAGATTTGATTTTTTCTTCAACATCAAAATCTGCTGATTACCATGAAAACATGAATGCAGATATGTTTGTCAAATAGCTTGAGGAGAAACTGTTACCTAGTCTGAGTGAACCATCAGTTATAATTTTAGATAATGCACCTTACCATTCAGAGATTTTCGAGAAACAACCAACAGTCGAGGAACGTACCGAGCATAAAAAATTGGTTAATTAAAAATAATCTCATTTTTCCGGAATACGCCGTCAAATCAGAGTTACTGGAAATTTCGAAACGTAATGAAAAACCAACAATTTATACAGTTGATCAAATTGTATCAAGTTATGGGCATCAGCCTCCTGAAACATATGTACAAACTCTTTATGAAAATCTTAACAAAGAGGCTAACACCTAAACTTGATTTCTATCAGCCCAAAGAACAGGCAGGCTTCAGGGCAGGATATAGCACAAATGACCATTTGCATACCATAAAAATCTTAATAGAAAAGTGCATCAAGTACAACATACCACTGGTTCTTGCATTTGTCGATTACGAGAAGGCTTTTGATTCTGTAGAGTTTGAAACAATACTGGAAGCCCTAAATCAAAGCCGAATAGATTACAGGTACACGACACTAATCAAAAACATCTATGAGAACGCTACATCAAGAATACGACTTCACGAAGACAGAAAAATTCCGCTTAGGTCGAGGAGTTAGACAAGGAGACAATATTTCACCAAAATTGTTTACCGCAGCTCTAGAGTCAATATTTAAGAGCACTCAATGGCAAGATATGGGCATCAATATACATAGATGGAGAAAGATTAAATCACCTAAGGTTTTCAGATGATGAATCGCAGATAACTTACGTGATATAGTTTCTATGAAGCATTCGCTTAAAAGTCTGTCTGAAAGAGCAGGATTAAAGATAAACTTTGAGAAAACTAAACTTATAACAGATCTCGTAATGAGTGGAAATATAACTATTGACAATAATACCATACAACAAACAGACGCTTACAAATATCTGGGACACGAAATCAAAATAAGCAGAGACAATCAAACACATGAAATACAGAGACGAATAGGCCTAACATGGGCAGCATTTGGCAAATTAAGCCATATTCCAAAAAGTTCAATTTCCATGTGTCTCAAGCGAAAGGTTTATAACCAATGTGTTCTGCCTGTACAAACTTATGGAGCAGAGACTTCAACACTCACGCAAAAATCTGCAAATAAACAAATAAATAAACTGCAAAGAGTTACACAACGAGCCATTGAACGTGCAATGCTGAACGTGAGCCTTCGATACCACATAACGAAACCAACAAATCAGGCAAAGATCAGAAGTTCAAGATGTCATCGAAAGAACCACGACGCTTAAATGGAATTGGGCAGGGCACACTTAGCCACAACACGAGATGGACGGTGGACATGACGTATTATGAAACTATAAAAGAAGCCGAGGATGCCACCGACTAGATGGACCGATGATATAAAACGTGTAGCGGGAAACTGGCTACAAGCGGCCCAGTGTAGAGAACACTGGAAAGAACTGGGGGAGGCCTATGTCCAGCAGGGGACGCGATTGGCTGATTGATGATGGACATCAAATACTACGGTTGCCGCAGTATCACTGCCAGTTTAATTAGATCGAACACATCTGGGGTATATGTAAAACGTATTATGATAATCACGGTGGACGTGAGGGACGATGCAGTTAGGGAAATGTGGCAAGAAGCTCTTAAAACTGCAACTCCAGAAATATGGGCCAAAACTGTAAATAGATGTGAAAAATTAATAGAAGAGTGGTGGATCCGGGAAAATAAAATTAGTGAAATTAATCCAGTGATTATAGATTTACATAATGATAGTGGTACTGAATTTAGTGACGATGATAATGATTTATATATGTAAATAATCAGTAAGTACACTATTATAATGTTATTTACAAAATAATTGTACAGCAGGTTAACCATTATATTTATACATTCATTATTAGCCAAATAAACAATATTATTTAAAATTCCATTTTTTGCTTTTCATTTTATACAAATTAACTCTAATTGATAATACAGGCAAAAATA